TGCTATTGCCATCCTCTGAGGCTGAGAGAGTGTGACTTGCCCAAGGTTTACATGGCTAAGTAGGGGTTTGAACCCTGGACTCTGGAATTGTAATCCAACACTCAAACCACTACACCATACCGGCTCTCTTTCTAGATGAGGCTTATTTGTTGTGAGCCTTCAAGACATTTCCAACTTATGACAGCCCTGTAATGAGGTTTTCTTGGCAGGATTTGTTCAGAGGTGGTTTGCCATGGCCTACCTCTGAGGCTGAGAGAGTGTGACTTGCCCAAGACCACCCAATGGGTTTTATGGCTCAGCTGGGAATCAAACCCTGGTCTCCAGAGCCGCAATGCTATGTTCAAACCACTATGTCAATATACTGGGCTAAATAACTTCTCCTGACCCAGGCTTTCGGGGTTAGGACAGGAGAAGTTACTTAATTAAGTATATTTAACTAAGTAGCTCCTACAGACCTCCAGCCGAAATACAGAAATAGAACGCACGTAGCTCTCCACATAATGGCTGCCACCCAGACCTATTTGTTTAGGAACCCAATTTGTTGAGAATGGGACTTTAATGACCACTAGATTGTCCCATTCGTTCCAAGGGGAGCCATAGCTAATTTTAGGAGGATTAGAGGAACTACCGAACTACAATAATCTAATTACAATGATTACAAGTGCTAGCATAATTCTCTCTATTGTGATTGCTGCAGGGGGAGAGATTAGGTTTTTGCAAATATTCTTTGGGTATGCAATTGATGCAGCCCATTCCTCACGTCAAGTTATTGTCACATCTCATTGGAAACATTTTTCCTTGTGCCAAGAAGAGGGTAATCTATGCTTTTCTTCTACAGGAGATGCCAGCTTTACATTTCTGCTATGGAGTGAATGGTTTCGATCTACAGACGTGGCAGAAGAAAATGGAGATTTGGTCATAGACCAAGGGCGGTCCCACTCAGTGGTTCCCAATCTTTGGTCCTCCATTTGCTTTGGACTTCAGATTCCAGAAATCCCACCAAACTTGGTCAAGAGTCAGGAATTATGGGAGATGAAGTCCAAAATCATCTGGAGGACCAAAGGTTGGGAACCTCTGCTCTAGGTAAGTGATTCTCAGCCTTAGGCTCTTCAGATGTTGTTGGACCTGAGCTTCCAGAACTCCTATTAGCCATGGAGATTTGAAGTCCAATACTCTCTAGAAGACCAAATGTTGAGCACCACTGATCTAAGTATCCCCATCCATTGAGAACCAGTCATGATACATCTATGTATCCCCATCACTTTACCCTCATAACCCCAGATTTCTGCATCAGCAAAGCCCTTTCCATTAACCTGCTTGAAACCATCTCCTATCCTTCCAGAGGAGCCACTACTTGCAGCTATGGAGACCTCACCTGGGATCCTGTCTCCATTTCTGAGTGTGTATGTGTGTCCTTCAAGCTACCTGTTGACTTATGGCCACCTTGTGAATTTCCTAGGGTTTTCATAGGCAAGGGATACTCAGAGGTGGTTTCACCAGTTTCTTCCTCAGAAATATAGCCTACAACACTTGGTATTTATTGACAGTCTCCCATCCAAGTACTCACCAGGGCTGACCCTGCTTCGCTCCCAAGATCAGATAGGAACTGGTGCCTATAGGATATTTAAGTCCCCTTTCTGAGACCTGGGTTCAAATCCTCACTTGGCTTTGGAAACCCACTGGGTAGCCTTGAGCAACCCACACTTTTGCAGCCTTTTGGAGAAATCCAATGCTAAACCCCTGAAGAAATGCCAAGAAAACTCTGCAATAGGTGCACCTTAGGGTTGCTGTAAGTCAGAATTGACTTGAAGAAATACAACAACAACAACAACAACAAGCACAACAACAACGACTCTGTACCCTGTCTCTGTCTCCAATCACATAAGGATTACTTTGCTCAATCACAAAAGCCAAAGAAAAACTGTATTCATTCCCAGATTCTCGTGAACACAAAATGTATTTGTCAGTTACCGAATGCTGCCAACTTTAGCATCAACTGGAACACCTCCAAAGCCAAGGTCTCTTATCATTTATCTGGGAAGCCAGATCAACCGGCGGTCATTTTTCTATTTATTCTGTCCCACTGTAATTGTGAATTCTAAATACCTTGCCTGGCAATCTGTTTATTTATAGCTATTAATGGGATGAATATTTGATTGATATTCATTACAGCAGCTTCGCTTCTCTGAATTTTCCACCGCAAGACATATAAATATATGTGCCATAACTTTGCCATCTGCATATTAATGTAGGAAAGCAATAAGCAAAGCAATGGCCCCAAATAGGGTTTTTTTTTTCCTTCGGGGGGGGGGGGGGGGTCATTCTTTTTGCTGTTGATTTTGTTATGTTTTTGTCATCATATTATGAATGATGCTCTTCAAGAATAGCATTTTGTGCATCCAAATGTTCTCCCGCAAGTGAAACTTGAAGAAAAGCCGTGGAACAATGTATGAGGTGACCAGGTTTATGGAGAGCAAATGTGTTGCAATGATTCAACATTTGTTTTTCAAATGGATGACTTTTTTATGATTTAGCCTCCTGCATGCTGATCGCTTGAATATTTTGTTAAAGCTTCACACCGATGCCCCTGCTCAGCACTTCTGATGCAGGCCAGCTTCCTGATGAACAGCTATAACCTTTATGGCATTTATCATGTCACGGCAAGGAACCCAGAAAGGCAACATCAAAAATCATGTAAATTTCAAGAGGTGGAGAAAAGAACATCTGTTAAACATCTTGGAGGATGTTTGGTTCTTTCTGCATTTGGTTGCAGAAACACAGCTCCCAACCCTCCCTATGTTGGGAAACTTGAGAGACAGCACTGCATTTCTCAAGCAACAAGCAATAAGCAATCAGGCAGAAGCTGAACAACAACCAGTCCTACGCAAAACTACCTACCCCGGGTCTAGGTGACAAATGAAACAGCTTGGTCTTCTTTGTCAAAGCTATAAAACTTGCTGATCAGAACTGGTGCGTACTCAAATATAAAATCAAAAGGAGGAGAAAGAGTGAGAGGGAAACAGTTGCAAGCAGTGGTTCCCAAACTTTGGTCCTCCAGGTATTTTGCACTTCAATTCCCAGAAACCCTAGCCAGCCTGGACAACGGTTAGGGATTCTGGGAGCTGAAGTCCAAAGCATCCATAGGACCAAAGTTTGAGAATCACTGACTGTTATAGGGATGCAATACAAGAGAGCCTGAGGAAAAGCAAACAATGAGGGAGTTACCATAAATATTTTGCTGTGCCTGAACTCCTAGGGAGTAACATGCAAACTTAAGTCACTAAATGGCTCCAAAGGGGGACTTCCGAAATGAAGTAAACTCAGCCCCTTGTCTCCACAGATTCAGCATCAGATGGTGTGCTGGGTCTTGGATGCTCATGGGAATCTGGATGTCTGGATCTTTTTGTCCAGCTGAAAACCAAGCTCCCCTCGGGAAGGAGAGGCAAGGAGCACCCCTGAATCTCTCCATCAGTCCCAGAATCTCAGTCTCTTTGGTCTCTCTTTGTGACTCATGGCACCCCAAGTTCTTATAATTTCCACGCTTCTCCTCAACTGGCCATTCTCTTTGGACAATTGTCTCTCTTGATCTCTGTTGCTCCTCCAATAAATGTAACTTCAAACCATCACAGCATTAACCCTTTCTTTACCTGAAGGAGGGACTATATCTCTCTCAGCCGTGTCATCCAAATAGGGTAAGAGCCTATCCATGATCACAATAGCTTTCTTGTCTCAAAATCCTTCTAAAGTCAAGCGTACCATAGAGGAAAAGGGAGCAATCTCATACCAAAACTCTGAAAATGGTGCAAATTGGCAACATCATGCACTTCGTCTAATTAATATTCCATGCCGGGAAGGCAATACTCACTTTGCTTAATTAAAAAGAGATTAATTTATCAACACAGGTACATTTTAATTAGCTCGCCCTCCATATGTTCCCAACTGCCATCTCCTATTGGCAAAGCGATGGGAATAGAGGCACATTGGCTTGATCGATGTTGGAACCTGGGAACCCTTAGATCCCAACAGCCGCCTGGGATTCACCAACTGGGATTTTTGTTCCCGACAACCATAGAGTTGGAAGGGATCCCCAAAGGCCATCTAATCCAACCCCTTGCTCTGAAGGAGTTTCAGTTAGATGGAGGTCAGTTTGCAGACCTCCAAAGATGGAAAGTCTGCTCCACTTTGAGGAAATTTAATCCACTGTCAAACAGTCCTTAAGTTATTCCAAAAGTTCTTCTTTAGCCTTCCATAGTAACGTTTCTGATCTGTGGAAATAATGCAGTGTGACACGACTCTTTGTGGCAGAGAACCATGGATGGCATATATATGTCTGTCCCTGGTTTCCACTCCACTACATGCATCTGAGGAAGTAGACTGAAGTCTAGGAAAGCTCATGCTGCCAACTTCTTTATTTCAGTTAGTCTCAAAGGTGCTGCAAGATCTCTCTACAAATTGTCAGCTCTGTTTGGCAGACACGACTCTCCAGAGTTTCAGGCAGGAGATATCTTTCAAGCCCTCCTTAGAGACGCTGCTGTGGATTAGACTTGGGCCCTTGTACCTACAAAGGATGGGCTTTACCCTTTAATCCTACTACCCTTCTCTGATGAGACGCACCCTCTGCCTATATGACATCTCAGGGAGATTCATTTGTTTATCTCCCAGCCTTCCAAACCGAGACGTACATTTTGAGAAGCCTTTGTACCCAATGTTCCTGCTTCGCCTAGTGAGCATTAGGCAAGAGGAGGCTAGCCGATGATGAACCTGCCAGAGATATATGCTGCAATTAATCTTTCCCTCTTCCTTTTAAAGGTTCTATCTGATTGCACCCGACCTCCGCTGTCAGATGGTTCCCATCCAGCCTTGAGCTGGGAAGATGTGCATAACTATCTGATTTTCTCCACACATGGATATCTTCAAACCAGGACATCCGCGTCATGGAAGCCACATGCTTCTGAAGTTATCAAGTTGTGCTGAAAGAGTTTTTTAGAGTTCCAGAAGGAGACTTACTTAGGGGATCCAGATTCAAGTCCTCCCAGCTGAGCCACGGAAATCACCAAGAGGCCATGGGGCTCAGTACCCTTTTCCTCAGCCTCGCCCTTTGTCCTCAGCTTACTCCAATTGCTG